GTGAGCCATATGATCTCTGTTGCAACTATTCAACAAAGTCATTGTAGCATGAATGTGGTTGTAGACAATAGGTCAATGAATAAGCATGGCTGAGTTTCCATAAAGGTTTATTTGTACAAATAGGTACTAAGCTGGATTTGACTCATGGGCTGTAGTTTGCTAATGCCTGCTGTAAGTATGCCATTATATGAATAAAACATAATTTACTTCTTGTTGAAGGATACTTTCCTCCTTTACCACACAGTTATACTACACATAGTATCAGTGCTGTACCTACCCACCACTCTTGTATTCAGTTATTTGTGCACATGTGCCAGAGTTTTTCTCAATCTAGCTAGGAATGGACTTGCTGGGTCACAGGGTATGTGAATCTTTAAGTAGACTACAAGTACAAAATTCCATGATAAGGAAATTATTTCAATTTATTTTCCTATCAATGGTGCATGAGATCTAGTTATTCTACATCTTCCATAGTGGAGTTAGACTAATATTCACAATCTGATGGATACAAAATTGAATTTAATTATAGTTCTAATTTACATTAACCTAATGAATAATGAGAGAACCATCTTTTCATGTGTATACTTTCCATTCATATATCTTCTTTAATAAAGAATCTGTTCAAATCTTTTCACCCTTCCAAAAATTGAGTTCTCTTATTACAGGGTTTTATTAGCTATTTATATATTAAGAATTCAATTCCTTTGGTGAATGTGTGATTGACAGATATTTTCTCCTAGTCATGTAGCTTGTTATTTTTGAAACAGAAGATTTAATTTTTATGAAACCAAATCTATCATTTTGTTCTTTTATGGATTGTTCCCAATGACATATCTGTGAAATCTTTGCTTAACTCAAGATTACAAAGATTTTTGTCCTGTTTTCTTACAGAAATTTTATACTTTAAAACATTACATTTAGTTATAATACCTTTTTAGATAATTTTTGGATATAATACATATATAGGTCAAGGTTCATTTTTTTTGCAAATGGATGTCCAGCACTATTTGTTGAAAAACAACCTTTTTCTGTTGTCTTGGCATATTTGTCAGAAATCAATTGATCACATGTGTGAGTCAATTTCTGGGCCCAATGTTTGGTTTCATTGACCTATATGTCTACCCTTTTACCAATATCACCTCTTTTGATTATTATAGCTTTGTAGTAATTCTTTTTTTTTAAAGAGAGAGAGAATTTTTTAATATTTATTTTTCAGTTCTCGGCAGACACAACATCTTTGTATGTGGTGCTGAGGATCGAACCCGGGCCGCACGCATGCCAGGCGAGCGTGCTACCGCTTGAGCCACATCCCCAGCCCTTTGTAGTAATTCTTGAAATCAGGTGGTATGAGTCCTTGAATTGGTTCCTTTTTGGGGAGTGGGGGGAGATGTAATCTCACTAAGTTGGTGAGGGGGTTTTGCTAAGTTGCTGGGGCTGGCCTCAAACTTGCAATCCTCCTGCCTCAGCCTCTCTAGTGGCTAGGATTACAGGTATGTGCCACCATGCCCAGCTTGTTCTTCTTTTTAAAAATTGACTATTCTGGGCTGGGGTTGTGGCTCAGTGGTAGAGCACTTGCCTAGCATGTGTGAGGCACTGGGTTTGATTCTCAGCACCACATATAAATAAAATAGAGGTACATTGACTATTAAAAATATTTTTTTAAAAGTGACTATTCTAATTTATTTGTCTTTCCATATTAATATTAGAATCAGCTTGTTTGATATCTATAAATATCCGGCTGAGATTTTGGAGGATTTCATTGAATGTCTAATTAATTTGGGGAGAAATGACATTTTAGCAATGAACATTACTCCCAGTTTATTTCATTAGTGTTTTCCAGTTTTGGGGGATATAGGTTGGGTGAATATTTTGTTAGATTTACACTTATGTATTCTCTTGTTTTGGGTGCTATTATAAATGGTACTTAAAAAAAATGTTGCTTTTCAATTGCTCATTGATGGTATAGACCAATACAATTGACTTTTGTATACTGACCCTAAAGCTTGCAACTGTGTTAAACTTAATAGTTCTAGAAATTTTTCCTTTACCAATTTGTATATTGGTTTGTGGTATTTTGTTTTTGATTTGCAAGATTCTTTATATAGTCTATATATGCAATCTTTATTTGCATTGCTTGAACAAAATTTCATAGACTGAGTCATTTATAAATGATAGAAATTCATTGTTCACACTTTTGGAGGATGGTAAGTCCAAGATCAAGGCACTATGAATGTTCATGCTTTGGTTGGATTAGAAAAGCATCATGTCTGAAGTATCTACTGCCAACTCCTTTCATTGATTAATTCTGGTGGTCTCCAAGTTTTCCATCCTATTAGATTTTACTACATACCTTCACATGTGTCAGCTCCCAGATCAATAACAAATGGTGGGGGACAACCTTCTATCAACCCTTTGATGCTCTTATTCTAGACTATGACAATAAAGCAAACTCATTGTTGAAAAAAATAAAAAACAAAATTAAGGCACTGGCAGCCTCATTGTCTGAGAAGGGCCTGCTCTGTGCTCCAAGATGGTGTTTGTTGTCCCCTTACCTAGCAGAAGAAGCAGAAGGATCGAGGGACAAAAGGGACTAATAGACTCTCCCAATACCTTTTCTAAGGGCACTAATCCCAGTCATGAGAGTGAGGTTCCTCATGATCTAACCATCTATTAAAGGACCCACCTGTCAATATTATTACCTTAGTGGTAAAGTTCCAATATATGTATTTTGAGGGGACACCAACATTTAGACCATAGCAGAGAGTAAACTACTTATTCTCTTACTTATTCTCAAATCCCAGCTATGGATTTCAAGGGCCCTGCCTTTTCCTAGGTTAGTAGTTTGTTCCTTTCCCCCTGCTTTCCCCACACCAATCTATGCTGATTTGGGGAAACATACCATGGAATAAGAAAGTCAAAATGATGGGTTTTCTTCCCCAGGAATGCACTACTGTATTTTCTAACTAGTGAGCCAGTTTGAGAATGCAATCATTTATTCAATTATTTTTATTGCGAAATGTATTATACATTTGAAAGAGTATAAAATTATAAGATTTGAAAAAAAAACAAAGATGCATGTACACTTGTACATAATATCCTGACTAATAACTAGATCATGGTAGCACTCTAGAAGCCATCTGTGTGTCCCTAATCACATACCTTATCTCCACTTGGAAATAAATGTTTTCCTTAGTTTTAAGTTAATCAGTCTCCCTTGCAGGCCTTTACAGATTTTCTACTTATATATGCAAATGTAAACAGAATGTGCTTTAGTTTTTAAGAGATTGAAGAGTAAGCACAAACCTATCCGTGTAAGGAAAGGTTGACATTACCTCTATTAGAAGGAAGTAAGCTGAACTGGGTCTGTAAACCCAATCTGCCTCCATGTTCCCTGGGAGTATATGGAAGACTTTTCTAGGGAATTCATTGGGAAATTAATCACCAGAATTGAAAGAGGGGAGAGAAAGAGTTAACACAGGACTGTAACTCACCCCTTCCCTGCTGGGGGATTCCTTCTCTGTGAACCATGCGATAGCATTTAGATACTAGGAGAATCTACCTTGAAAATGTTTCCAACAGGAATTACCTTCTCTATTTAGATTGGTCCTTATAAATTAACATGGACTGCATGGATTAAGGAGCACAGCTGGCTCGAGAGTTGCGCACCAAGGAGCAAGGTCAGCAGTTCCTATAATGAATGAAGTAAAACTGACAAACTCCAAAATAGACAACAGCTTCAATGGAGAGCAAGGGAAGAGCTCAGGGTGGTAGCTCTGCATCAGGTATAGAGGTCCAGACAGAGCAAGGTGGCATGTCAGGAGGGTCATCTTCATGATGCTTCCTGCCATGCTTCTCATTTTAACTCAAGGCAGGAAATTAGGGCAAAACTGGCCTAGATTCTTACCTGCTTTTGACTTGTCTCCCTCCCACCCCTCATGCCCTGCTACTTGGATCAGCAAAAATCTCATTCCCCAAGGAAAAAAAAAATTGTCAAAATACACATAAGGTTTGCCACCTTAGCTATTTTACATGTACACATTTCAGAATTGTTAAGTATACTCACATTGTTGTGAAACCCAATCTAGAGAACTCTTCCATCTTGCAAAACAGAAACTCCATATCCACTAAATAACAATTTCCCCACTCTCCGCTACCCCCTAGTCCCTGCCAATCACCCTTCCACTTTCTATCTCTATGAACTTGTCTACTTAATTTATCTCAAATAAGTGGAATTATACAGTGTCTTTTGTGACTGTATTATTTCACTTGGCATAGTGTCCTCAAAGCTCGTCCATGTGATAGCATGTATCAGAATTTTATTCCCTGCATGCCCCACCAGAAGAGAGAATATATCAAGAAAAACGAAAGATTCAAGATGCAGAAAGTGACAGCAAAGAGGGACAAGCATAGGAAATACATTTCTTGAGAACAAGCCTTGCAGAAAACATCCTTGTTTTACCCTCATACACAAATGATATTTTAGCTAACTGTAGAATTCTAGGGATGATGATTTTCCTAAGATTTTTAGATGTATAACTTCATTCCTTCTTTACTCCAGTGCTGCTATTGAGAAGTCTGGACCTAATCTTATTGCTGCTCTTCTGTGGGTGAACTTTTGTTTGTTTTCCCCTCTTCTCTGGATGCTTTTAAAGTTGCCAGTGTTGCTGGGTACAGTGGTGCACCCAGCCTGTAATCCCACTGGCTTGGAAGGCTGAGGCGGGAGGATGGCAGGTTCAAAGCCTTCCTCAGCAACTTGGTGAGGCCCTAAACAACTTAGCAAAACCCTGTATCTTAAATAAAAATATAGAAAAAGGGCTGGGGATGTGGCTCAATGATTAAGTACCCCTGGGTTCAATCCCCAGTACCTACCCAAAACAAGCAAACAAAATTAAGTTGCCAGTAATTCCTTCTGCTTCTCAGGCCTGACCTTCCTGCAGCCTGGTTGAGCCTCTACTGCCGCATTTTCTCTATTCCACCGGTCGCACCCCTCTCGTGGCATCATGGTGGCCTACTGGCGATAGGCTGGACTCAGCTATATCTGATACTCTCAGATCTGTGCAAAAGCAGTGAGGGATGCACTGAAGGCAGAATTCAAAGCAAATGCCAAGAAGACTTCTGGCAGCAGCATAAAACTTGTGAAAGTAAAAAAGGAATAATCAACCCTGACTAAAGCTTGAAATGCTACATTTTCAAGGTGAAGAAGTGTGGGCACATGTTATGGCAGATTAAAATCATCTCACTTCATGAAAAAAAAACTGTCTTGTTCATAAATTGATGATGCCAGTAAATTGATGTGTGGTTCACTCTTAAAAAAAAAATGTTGCCAGTAATTTTGGAGACTCATACTGATATGCAGTGGTGTGATCTGTTTTCATGTTAGATTGTGAGACTTTTCAATCTGGCAACTCATCTCCTTCAGTTCTGGAAATTTTTATTGACTTACTTCATCAATGTTTTCTTCCCACACCCCTTTTTTTTTCTTCTCTTCTCGTCTTTTTATTTAGTATTTTACTTCTTGGATGTTTCTATTTTCTTATCTTTTTCTCTCTTTGTCAGTTTGCCATCTGGGAGATTTTCTTAGCTTTATCTCTTAATTTCTCTTTTTAAATTATTTTCATTTTTTTGTTTCATATATATAATGTCCCAAAGCTGTCTTTCTTCTCTATATTTTCCTGGATTAAAGGATCCTATTCTGATTTCATGAGTGCAATATCTTTATCTCCCTGTGGATATTCAGGATGGTACATCATAGAGATGTTGACATTTTCTGCTCTGAATAGCCTATTTATTACTAGTTCTGTGTTTGATTATTTGTAGTGATCATTGCAGGTGTTCCTCATTGTCTGATACTCTTGGCTGTCTGCCCACCATGAAGAATGGAGGAGCTGAAAATCTGACTGGAGTCTCCGAGGGGAGGGGGGAGTACTCGTCAACTAAGCATCCCCTTAGGACCACTTGGGTAAGCTTTGGGGAGTCCTTTGATCTTTGGACCATTCATCCTGAATGGCCAGATTGGTTGGGAACCCCTCCCCACAAATAGGCTTATGGTTAAGGTCTCCTGCTTACAGGGTAAATCTGACCAAAGATGTTTTGGAAGACCAGTGCAGAGAGAGAGAGTTTGAAGTCTCTGTTAAGCAGTCAGAACACTTCACAGTCACTTAATTTCCCTTCTATTGGCATAGTTCCTATTCTCACTTTCAAAAAATTTCAAAAAAAATTTTTAAGTCGTAGATGAACACAATACCTTTAATTAATTAGTTAATTATTAATTGATTTTTAATGATTTTCTTTTTAGTTGTAGATGGACACAATATCTTTATTTTTATTTATTTATTTTTATGTGGTGCTGAGGACCGAACCTAGTGCCTCACATGTGCTAGGCGAGCACTTTACCACTGAGCCACAACCCCAACCCCCGACTCTCACTTTTTTAAAAAAAGTGTTTATTGGATGAGTTATAAATCCATCTCCACAAGGAGTTAACCCATATAGATCCACTTTTGTAGAGCTCCAGGGAGGCTTAGAGAGATGGAAGAGAGTTCCCTGCTTATATTGCTATCTCATAAATCCCTTTCCTAAGTTGCCTTTGGTGTCATGTATGAGCTTAATGACCCAATCTAAGGGTTTTCTTAATTTTCCCCCATTTTTATAAACTAGACAAGCATTCCTTACATTCCTAAAGCTTCACACCCTCTTGTTTATTTGAGCAGGCGAGGTATACCAAATCAATTTACTATTGATGTGTCTCAGATTTACAAAAGGTGTGACTCACAGAATCATATTTCCCCAACAAGAACCAGGGAACCCACGTGTTTCCCAGAAGCAATATTTCTCTTGTCACTCTGGGCTCTGACACGTGGCTTTATGAAGAAGGATGTGAAAAATCACTACACCCCTAGACTCTATGCCAAGTCACTACACATGAAAAAAAATATCTTGGGTAAACAGAAGCCTCCAGCAGCACCTTTGGTAAATAGAATGAAGAATGAGGCTGCAGCCGGTTTGCTTCCTTGTTTTCCTTCAGGACTTCACTGCTAGGCCTCAACCCACAGCCTCACAGATGTCACCCGTGTATAAAGATAAGAAGGGGCGGGTGGAGAAAGAGGGTTTTAGAAGAAAGGGATTGTCCAGAAATCTGTCTTATTTGGAGGAATGGCACAGGAGTAAAGGATCTGGTGGATGGGGGTGGGTTTGTAGGCTGGGGGGAGGGGGGGATATAGGGGATGGATGAGAGCCAGAGGAATGGAGTAAGGAGATGGAGATGATGGTCATAAAAATAGCAACCAAATTATCAATGCTAATCAGTATGCCAGCTGCTTCACGACATTGTCTCCAATTTTCATTCCAACCACGGCGAGAAGCAGCAACTTCTCAAAGAGGCATCATTTGTCCCACTCTACAGATGCAAAAACAGAAGGCCCCAGCATCCCAGGATGGCCAGATTTTTTCTGCCTCTAAATTCCAGCTGCCTTCTGTTACACCAGCCTTCCTCCCCTCTATGCCAAGTTTATTCACTCATTCAGTCAGCCAGCTAGCACCTACTAAGTGTTGAACTAAGTGCTGAAAACAACAATATTTGTCCCTAAGTAGCATAGAGCCCTGACTACATTTCTTTGAAATCCATTTATTTCCCTAAAATCTTGTTGATGGGAAGGCTAGAACCACACCAGTTCTTCAATGCTACCTTTCTTTGAATGTGAGCCTTTCTTACTTGGGTTGATGGAGCCTCAGCCTTCCAGGCTCAAACTCAATTCACAAGTGAGATCCAAGAAACTATCCTTGAGACCAACTGGTCAGGAACAGAAATCAACATCCCCTCAACAAAGGGTTGAAAATTGTTCTAGGGCAGCAAGGGAGTCCTTAGTGGTCTTGGTTGCTCTTTAGACTTATAACCACTTATCACCAATGGAGGAAATTCCAATAAAGATTCCTGCCCCTTCTAATGGGTCTTGTAATCCAGGATAAAATGTAGATATTGACAGCCATGGCATTTTGCCTAGGTCCTGGCCCATATGGAGACAGTCAGGTAATCTTTTTAAGTTATAAAAAACATTTTGTTAAACAGGCGTGTGGTAATTTTGGAGTTCAGATTCTAAAGATTATTTTTAATTTTAATGCCTTCCTGAGGATCACATGTGAAGAGAAGGAGCTCAAATGTAGATATCAGGGTAGAATTTTCTTTCCTCCCCTCAATTCCTTCTTTCTTACCTAATACAACTACTACTTCCATTAGGAGGTGAATTACAGACACTTTGTTAGCATAAAGCATGAAAATTATGCTCTGAGAGGTTGCCACTATTTTTAGAAGAGACACGTGGAACAGCAGCTTCAGTATCACCTGGGAGTTTATTAGAAATATGGATTCTCAGTTCCCACCTCCAGACCAATTATATTAGAACCTGCATTTTAACTGGATCCCCAGGTGGTTTGTACTCACGTAAAAGTTCAAGAAGTACTAGTGTAGAAATTCATTGTGGAAATCTCCAGAAATATACATGGCACTTAAAGAATCTGACTTGAGCTCTAGGGTAAGTTCAGGTTCATAGGGAGAGGCAGACAAAAGCTAAAAAGATGATGAGACAAGAGAAGTGGGATGAAGATCAGAGGAAGGAGAGCATCCTTGTACCCCTTCTAGGTGTGCCCTGGGCAAGCTGATAGAATGGTATGTTGGGGAAAAAAAATAAATGTTTGGAAATACCATGCAGATTCAACATACAATTGTCATTTTGTTTTTGGTAACAGATTGCTTCTGCTCATCCTTACATGTATGGTCCTAAGAACCAATGGGTTGCATGTGGTTCTAAAACTTTTAAGTTTTGAAATGTTCATTTTAAAGCTAAACTGCTTCTGCAAATGGAACACACAAAGAATATATTTAGAAATCATTGTTTTCATCAGGAACTCAGTTTTCCCAAAAATGTAAATTGGGATATCCATTCCTTGATTTAATTTCTCTCTCCAAACTCACTCCACCAACTGCTTTTCCCCTCTCCTCTTGGATGGATGTCTCACAGGTGTTGCAAAAACAGCATGGGCAACATGCTCCTCATTGGTATCTGTTGGCATTTTTTTTTTTTGCATCCCTCTAAAGAGCATCACCACTCACATAATGAATCAAGACACAATCCTTGGAGTCACTCTTTTCTTTTACACATTTTTAAAATTAGAGCTTTATAGTTACACATAGTAGTTGGGTTCATCCTGACACACTCATACATGCATGGAAATCAATGTCAGTTCAAGTTCCCCCACTCTTCCCTCCCCTCTCCCATTCTCTTTCCTCTACTAAACTTCCTTTTTCTTGTCTATTAATTTGTATATGGTTGATACTTTATGTTATTTTATCCTTCCCTCCCCGTTTCCTTTATTTTATTCTAGCTTCCACATATGAGAGAATATATTCAACTTTTGAGTTTCTGAGTTTGGCATATTTCACTTAGCATGATATTTTCCATTTCCATCCATTTACCAGCAAATGCCATAATTTCATTATTTTTTATGGCTGATTAGAACTCTATCATATATAAATCACAGTTTATTAATCCATTCATCTTTTGATGGGCATCTGGGTTGATTCCATAATTTAGCTATTGTGAATTGTGCTGCTAAAAACATTGAGGTGGCTGTGTTGCTGAAGTATGTCACTTTTAGATCTTTTAGGAAAATACCAAGGGGTGGGATAGCTGGGTCATATGGTGGTTCCAACCCTAGTCTTTTGAGGAATCTCCATATTGCTTTCCAGGGTGGTTGAACTAGTCTGCAGTCCCATCAACAATGAACAAGTATACTCCCCTCCCCAACCTCCTCAGCATTTATTATTGTTTGTATTCTTTTTAAAAATATTTTTTGTTGTATGTGGACATAATAACTATTTTATTTTTTGTGTATGTTGTGCTAAGGATGAAATCTCATGCCTCACATGGGCTAGGCAAGTGCTCTACCACTGAGCCACAACCTCAGCCCATATTGTTTGTATTCTTGATCATTGCCATTCTGACTGGAGTGAGATGAAATCTAGTGTAGTTTTTATTTGCCTTTCTCTGATTGCTAGATGTTGAACATTTTTTCATATATTTGCTAGCAATTTGTGTTTCTTCTTTTGAGAAGTTTCTTGTTTAGTTCTTTTGCCTGTTTATTGATAGGTTTTTTTTTCAGTTCTTTGTATATGCTGGATATTAATTCCCTATTAGAGGAGTAGCTGGCCAAGAAGTTCTTCCATTCTGTAGGTGCTCTCTTCATACTCTTAATCATTTCCTTTGCTGTGCAGAAGCTTTTT